GTTAGGATTAAGCGCTATGGGTAGGGGTTAGGGTTGAGGGTCACGTTTGGGGGTTAGGGGTTAGCGCAACTATTTCTCAGCCATTCAATGCACAACCGGGCATTCCCGATAGCTTTTCTTTTGCATGTAACTACTTGTCCTCGTCGTCTGTGCGTTCCCCGGCCCGACCTGCAAAAACCCCTATTACCACCGGTCCCGTATTAGACGTGACCGGGGTTTGTTTACTTCAGGTGGGGCTAAATAACCACATCCGACCCAATGTTCCTTAGGCCTGTGTTTGCCGCTGTGCTAACATCAACACAAACACCACGGCTTTGCAACCCGAGGGTAATGAGAAAGTTCACAAAGTCATTCGGTATCTTCTGTGCGCCTAAGATCGGGCTGATAAAGGAGCCTTTGCAGTAGTTGGCAGGGCTTAAATCGTTTCCTATCCGAAAGCTCGAAATTCGGACTAACAAATTACATGTGGAGACAAGCCCTGAAGCATAGAGCAGCTCCAAATCCGCAGTACACCAAACCAACGAATAACGAGAGCGAGAATCTTCTCAGGGCCACAGACGAAGATGGTCACTGCGGCTCTTCGACGTGGTGCAAGGTCGCACCTGACTTTGGCAGACTACAGGATCTTGAAAGCCAACTTTTGACGCAACCGGCATGGAGTCCTTATTTTCATATTGCTGAAGACCTGCAAGACCGCTGTGCTGTATGAGCTGCTTTTCGGCTCTGAGATTGCATTGGCGGACCCCTGCGAATCTTCGCAATGTAAATAGAGAACCAGTGTCTGAAGAACCAGTCAACGCCAGTCTCGCACCTCTTCCCTACTCCCAATGTGTCTGCGCATTCTGCTACCGCATAGACCTATTTGGTCAGATGTGTGTGCGCGATAACGATCAGTAAAATACCGTCTTCAGGTGATACTCTCACTGACCCAAGCAATCAGGCACCAGAGTGACACTGTCAGTCAGGCACTAAAGTCACCTATCACCCACGCCTCATGATAACCTCGGTAATGAGGGGTGAACTTGTGACTATTGCTGTTGTGGGTGGGATCTCACTCGATCTCATTCTGTCCGCCCGCCAGCTTGCCACTGGCGACAAGGAACGATGTCTCATAGGACACATGCCGCACATAGTACATAAGCAGCTCACTAAGAGTGCAAAAAGCCAGACGCAGACAGCCGTTTCACGATCGTTATCGGTCATCAGCACGTACATGTATTATATGTGGTATGTGTCCTATGACACAGCGTTCGTTGTCGCCAGTGACAAGCTGGCGGGCAGACAGAGTTGGATCGAGTGAGATCCTAACCACAACCGTGAGGGTCACACGCCTACTTGACTTGCTTATGGCGTATGGCCAGTGACGTACTGATGATCGGTAACGACAGTGGAACAGCCGTCTGCGTCTGGTCTGTTGCACTCTTAGCGAGTTGCTTATGCATTAGATAAGTGAACTGTCATGTGTGTGTGTGCGCGACGCACGCATTTAATGGGGACTTTCCATCACGTTGGCCATTGTGCCCATCGGTGGGCTTGACGCGGAAACGCTGTTGATGCATTGGGGAGGCCTTGGTACCGTTCACGCTGTGAGGCCAGCAGGTCATGCGCCCCACCCATCTATCACGCAGATCAACAATGCTATTTGTGGACTAGAAATGCGCATCTGCTCGACCGCAGTCAGCGTCACGTCATTCTCGCTGTCTGCAACGATACTTAGTTGGCCACAGCGTTGCACGTATTACTGCTCCCCCGCCGGTTTGGTCTTTCGTCGAGGCCACGTATGTAGGCTGCACGCCGGTTGATATGACACCTGATTGAGCCACTGTTTAAAGGCCATGCTCGTCAGCAGCTGCCTTGCCTAGCCGCAGACCACCTACTATGGGTGTCACCAACGACTTCCAACTTAGCCTCTTCACCTAAAGTCGGTGGTTGTGCATTCTTTTTCGCAGTTTTCGGCCAGTTTCCTAAAGTCATTTGTTTTTATCATAGACGTACCGGAGTCTGAATAGGATGGCTACTTCCTCCTTACTAATGACGTCTTTCGGACGCGTCAGATGCAGCACAGTGGTGATTCGTAAACGAATGTTGCTCGCATTTGCGCGAACGACCCAGCCAAACCTGCACTGACTGGTACAGGAATCGAATATGCGAGCCCGCTGAGAAAATAGAGCACAGGGTCTCCTGAAGTATTGGAAGGATGCGCATATTAGTTTTATCCGAAGGGCAGACGGACGCGGAAAGTAACGGCATCTGCGGAAGGTATCGAGGAAACTGACACTTCTGCCATATGTTTGTCTTATTACTCCAACGAGGTGCTGGAACAGACCACGCAGTTCCAAAGGTGGGAGTGAGGGACGTGTAAACGGGCGAAAAACAGGTAAACCAAGCTTAGTGGTCAAAGAAGGCCCCTAAAGTTAACCCTAACCCTAAGTCCTTCCCTCACCCCAACCTTGACCTTGACCCCAAATTTAATCATTTTATTGACCTTGGCCAGAACGTAACCCTAGTGTAACACGCCAACCAAGAGCAAATTGGTAGGTATGTTATAGTAATCAAAGCCCGGGCGTACATATTCAGCACTTGCCCTAGGATAAGTCAAGGATAAGTCCCCCGACACGCAGTCCAGTTCCCGCCCAGTTGTTTGCCGCCTGCAGATTAACGTTACTCAAGTCCTGACGAGGTGCAATTAAAACGACTATTTGTATAGCATTTACTAGAATTTCTCTCTTTTTTGCATTTCTGCGCTTTCAAACACTTCTTTGTTGTTTTTTAAATGACTTCTGCTGTGACACCTGACACATGTCGATGTTCTAACCACTCCGACCAACGACAGACGGAGCCCGCCATTTCACTTACCGCCACCCTTGCACGCACTGCCAGCAGTGGCTGCGTAACTTCGCAGTGATAACGAGGAAGACAAACAGACGGGGCAAAAAACAGATTACTTGACGTTGGTACTCACAGCCTCCATGATTCATATGGGAGAGGTTTCCTGGGAGATCGTATCGATTCTGAAGAGATCATGCTTTTTTATCGTCCAGGGTCTGGGCTATGAGAGCCATAGGCGGCATACCAAGCGCCGAGCATCAGGATAAGACTGAAGGCAGCAGAAGGAGAGGTTTTATGGTCCATAGAGCCCCGAATTGCTGTCTCGGGATGGCTGTGGCTACCGCGAGACCAGGACGTGCGCTGATGATGTTAGGTCGTGCCTGAGAGGGGGGGGGGTAGAGTGGTGTCAGCTGGTTATGTGGATTTGTGGAAGCAAGTTCGGGTGGCTTTGTGTCAGAGTGGCGTGTTGCGTGTGGTGTGGTACATTTAACTGAGGCATAGATGGATGTGAACATCTGAATGGGCAAACATTGCAGTTAGTCTGCCCTTGAGTTGATTGAGTCTGGAACCGCTCGCTGGGCAGGTGAGTGACCTTAAGGTAGTAGGGTCTGGAATAAAGACGCCAGCCATCGTAATTATTGTTGCCGGCTGCAATCGGACAGGTAGTAACTGGAAGTAGCTTTTGCAAATTTGTCCCCAACACCGTCCGTCGCAATGATGGAGGTTCGAATTAGTTCAAGGTCCTCAAAGGTATCCTCAACACCTCATTGCCGCCCTTTTCAGAGTGTTTACGGAATGTACTCACTCTAAATCCGTTTACAACCAGGTCGGAATCTCTAAAAAAATTGCTAAATCCCACAAACTTGTCCACGTTCTTCGAACACGCACAGGTGAAACTTGCACTAAACTGAAGGTCGAACAAGAGTCATGTCGTTTGGGGCCACCAGCGGCACCACCGACGTGTACAGAAGGAGTTCTGCGTTCGAACACACTTGTATTCCAAAAAATTGCACTTGACGAGGTCTAAAAACTACCTGAAATAAAGATCTGCATTACAGTGAGGATAACGTGGGCGAGATCAGTGTCGTCCTGTTTCTGCATTAGCACGCCACCCCGGTGTCAAGACTGAGTTAAGTCGACCGGACATGCGTCACGAGTTGCTTCATATACTGTGCGAAACCCGACGTTCATCGGACGGCTCCTTCGACGCTGCAAGTGAACTCCGCGTTTGTAGTCTGACACCGCAATGCCACACTTTTTAAAAACCATCAGACTAATGAATAACCAGCAGGTTGAATTTGCCCGGAAAATCAATATAAAGCAGCGAAATCCGAGTTCGGAATAAGCAGTCGGATCAATAAAAGGAGGTCACTTGAAAACGTGATAGAAAAGTGAAAGAGCTACAGTAACATACAAAGGAGTGTGGCGATCAAAGGACAAGTGTTGATCAGGGCATGGAAAGGTTTATCACATGGTCCAGTTGTTTGCACACGTCAAGTTCTCCTCACCCTACGTAGACCGCTTCCAAGTAGCGCATTTTCAGAGCTGTTAACGCACGAATAAATAGATGGAAAGCCCTTCTGGGGTTAACAGAGAGTCCACTAGTTAGGAGACGTTTTGGGATAGAAGGATGCAGGGTTTTGTTTTCTGACTTTAACTTGGGCCCCAGGTGCCTTTCTGTTCGTCCAATTTTCTTGCATCCGCAAGTACGTGTGAATTCATATGAGCAATTTTAGGTGGCATGCAACGTCAAAACAGACTACGTTTGTTTAAGTGAAATGGCCATAGTAGGGATGTAGAAGATGAGTTGAGCTGCATGCTGAAGTTTTCAAGGATGCATACTGAAAGTGCTTTAAATACTATCACCCTTAAAGGGCAGGGGTATTATAAGGGACTTCTTCACAAGCGACTGCTACTCCTATTTTTGCCGCAGAAAATCGCAAAATCTCTGTATGAGACGAGTCAGATAACCACGTTTGGCCGAGGTTACTTCGAAAGGGACAAATTCCGAGTTTGTGCCTCGTTAGAGCACCTTGTTCCTGCTTTTTGCAATAAACTTAGACCAGGTTTCGCTTGCGTTGTACTGGCACGGAACTAGTGAAATATCTGTGTTGACACTTCCACGTATTCTTGTTGACATCTGGTCGTCTAAATGAACCGTCTTCATGTCCATGCACAAGGATGCCCAGGAAAGACAGCTGGCTCTTTCTCCTTTCTATCGTGAAATTGACCTTAGGAGGCGAGCTAATCGTAGCAACGAGTAGGTCCTCAGCCGTTGCCTCATCGGCATATCCGCTGTATGATGTTTTCTCACTCAACTTTGACGACACTTTTGTAATATGTGCGAGCCACAAAAGTGTCAGCAAAGATCAGACAGAGTGGAAATTCCAGCATTACTCTACGAATCTGTTTGCAAGAATGCCCATTAAACATGAAATGCAATTCCTTCTAGTACACATTTTCAGCAACTTGTAAAGTGCTGCAAGTGACAGGCAGGTTTTAACCTCATGAGCATACATGACGTCTATCTTTTCATCAAGTGGCGCCTCCGTAAATAATAATTCTACGTCCAGGGGATCATGCATTTGCCGGAAATGACTGGTACCCTGGTTTCTTCAATAGAATGAAAGGCGCTTTTTAGTGAGTAGGCTGTAAGCCTTTGTTGAATTGGTTAAGAGTCCTTTGCAAGCCACTGTACTGGCATGGGTTGAGGAGAACTTATCGTCAGCAGAATCGGTCTTGTGACTTTCTGGTAATCCATAGTCTGGGGACGTGTCTCTAGGTTCTATTAGTGCTGCGGTTCTCATACCAACATTTTCCGCCAAGGACTTCTTTGTCATTTTCCAGACGGTGTTTTTCAGTGTTCTGGTTTCATCCTTTTCTGATATTTCTCAGTGAAATTTGTTGAGGTCATTCAAAATGGATTCCAGACTCAATGCATAGCCCTTCCTGTTAAGGCTACCAAATCCCTGACATACATCGAGCTTAGAAATTTTCACACATGCTAAGAGCTAGGCCATGTGCAAACCTGAACCTAGCGTGTCTCTTCCGCCTTCTTCATTACTTTTTTCAGTGACCCTTTTGGTCGCTTCTTCTGAAATATGACTCTTGTTAATAACTTCGGATATAAAAAGGGGCAGAACTTGGAGGTAGGTGTTCGTGACAGGACTTTTTGGGTTGCAATCGAAATAGAGTTCACAGACCAGAAATGAACATGGGAGACGCTGGGAGACCCACGAAGGAGCGGAACCTTTCACAAGTGAGTCATGTTGCAGAAAAAACGTCGGCAAAACGGGCGTCTCGGCTTCTAACCAGTACCCATGTTGGGATTGCAAACCACTGTAATATAAAAAACATGCTACTAGTAATGCTACTCGTTTGTAGAATGAGCGTTACGTGATCATTCCACAGAAGTTGATTGTCTTCAGCCCAAATTTACATTGAGACTTCGGGACGACGCTAAAAATTTATGTCATGGGCCCTTAACTCCAAGTCCTGCCTTTAATAATTCCCGAAATTATTAGGTTAGTATTTATCTGGAGTTACTGTACCAGAAAATAGCACAGAGGACGTTAGGGGACCCAATAAGGAGCCGAACCCCTCGCAGGTGCGTCATGCAGCAGCAAAAACATCGGCGAAACTGCATTTCGCCGGACTTTTAGATAGTAACCTTATCCGGAGCACGATATAAACCACTGCTGTTTTCATATTGGTTTTTTGAATCAGTTCAACCCACTATTTATTCGTTGCTCGTTATCTGTGTGAAGAAGAAACAAGAAGCAGCCAAGGAGCAGTAGCGGTGTTCTGTGGTACCATTAATCCTTACTGTTTATGCCTGTTTTAAGCCCATACAGGCGCCAAAAAAACATTCAGATTTCTCAAGCATCATGATTTTTCCTGTTGCGCGGTTTCCTTTGTGAAGAAGGGGAAGCGACCAGCAGGAGAGAGAGGAGGAGAGGCTGAAAACAGAATCGCAAACCCAGTCCTAGACAAGATTTATGGCGTGTCGGTTGTCCAAACTCCACCGCGGTGTACGTGCGTCCATAGCCACTTCTTATTTCCCAACACACCCCAGTGCCCTTATATGAAGCGCATCTGGCCACAAAGTTCAAAGTAACTGGCAAGCTTCTCAGGAAATTGGAGAAATCGACGGGCTAAGTGTGTTGTCTTAGCACACCATGAATGGTCGAGAATTATCCAACTGGAGCAAGTATGCGAGTCTCGGGTTCTTGTTGCAATTATCAAATTATACTGGTTGTTCAGTAAATGCCGGGACCTGTGAGGACGCCTGGGCCTGATGAACGAATGACTTAACAAATGAATTTTATATGGACTTGCCACTAATTTTTTTGTATTTTCTCAAAATTTATCCCACGACTTTAAAGACAAAAGGCTTTTCGTGCAGAGGACTTCCGGGCTGCGCTAAACTCAGCTCATTCAAAACACTAAACCCCGTCTGAGTCCGCGCTACTTTTAGAGCGCTTGTTTTCCTCTATCGGATAGCATATGAGACATCCATCAATTCATCCGAGAGGACGTGTCGGAAATCAACTGGTAATGACTGGTATTCTCAGTTGACGCTTGTATCTCTTTGAAACAAAAAGGGGAAATATCATGCACAGGTTCACATGGGGTGAATTAGTTAATTAGGAAACAATCGGCGATAATATTTGTCAAAATACTGCGATCCACATTAGACAAAAATAATGCACAGTCTGACTGGTAAGTAGAGAAGCTTTTGTCCCCTTTGCATCTGACACCATCTGCGCCATGCAGTAGATTATTGACTCGAATTTTCCGAGAACAGAAGTCGGCGTTTCAAGCACTAATCCTATCGGCATAAGGAATACAAGAAGTACGACCGTCGGTTCCAAGAGAGGAACCTAAGCCACAGGTTAATCCGCCCTAAACCGACCAGCGTTTTCACCAGACAAACCTCTCACGATTGATAATCAGGACTTGTCTGCAACAGCCTATATCCAGGCGATAATAGCAACAAACCACCCTAGCTTTCCTTACATAACGCAGTCAGAAGGCGTTAGTCGTGGGAGATTTCAGTGTGTCGTTAGCAGGTTGAAGTAGACTGTCAGGAGGTGGTGATGGAGGCACATTTGCTGCCAAACTTTTTGCCTTCTCACACGACAATTATCTTAACCAATTCATCCAGTTTCCAACCAAGTAAACAGAAAATAAGGCGTCGTATGCAGAGGGGCGGCAGAAACGGTAACGTAATCCGACAATAAGGGCGTTCTCTCTCTATTGGGAGCACAATAGACTTTGAAAATATTGTCACAAGCTCTAGACGTTAGGGGATTTCCTGAGGTATAAGAGGGTGAGTAATATGGTGTATGTACTAGTCTCAAGAAGTCGCATGTGCTCTGAAAAGCCTCACATAATCTTCGGTTTTGAAGCCAGATGTAGGTTAATTATTATCATACACGACTGAGTGCACATCTGCACGCGAAAAATGTGATGGCGGCTGCTTACGTGCCTGTGGATGTAGGTTAGATGTGTTATCTCATGAAATGTCAACCGAAATGTGTTTCTGATTTGAAAAGATTATTCGTGCAAAATTGTAATATAAATTATCATACAGCATAGTTCTAAGGCAGATCAGCCGCACCAGGATGTCTGCTTTTGAATGAGCTTATTTTCGACAGTCTGAAAATCTATACCCTGTAAAAATGGCTACTTAACTGGGATGATTTTTCCATCGATTTTGGAAGCCCTCACCAATTCAAATATATTTTACAGAAAACATGTACAAAAATATTCTCGCCCGCACTCCTTTGGTAGAAAATTACGTCTTCTTCAAATTTCCTACTTAAAGAGAGAGCATTTTTTGGTTTTTTAAAATTTGTTCAGTTTCCGAATAGTTTTTTTTGCTCCACCTGCCGCTACACTTGTATTCAGGGTTTCCAAACTACATGTTTTATGCATTCTGTCAAAGAAATATCACAGATTTCTCAGTTTCATCTGGAAGAAGTCATATAGGACTTAGAAAATTATGCAGCGGGTATGGACCCAAATGTATGCCTTATAAGTAGCACTGCCAGCTGCGTTGATGTTACTGTATGAATGGACGTTTGACGATCTTAAGAATCTCATTATTAAAAACATTTTAGAACCAAATCATTCTCTCTTCAAGTAGAATATTTGCAGAAGACGCAGTTTGCTATCAAATGAGCACAAGAAAGAGTTTTGTCGTACAGGTATTCTATAAAAGGTAAGTGAATTGTAGTTCCCGTCTTCCCAGCACAGATTCGGATAAGAGCGCCTTAGATGATCTTTAGAACAGGATAGGCGTGGATGGAGTGCATATAACATCAGCAGACGTATTGCACAGACTATCATACCTTGACCCAAATAAACTTATTTTGAAGATTTTAAGGCTCCCTGGTCCGATTACGACTGTTTCATCCTGAGGAAGTGATGGTGAGCCATTACCACCCACTTACCATGTGGTGGCCCACGGCAAATCACCAGCCTCGGATATCCTTGTCTGAAAGACTCTGCAGGGCATCTTGTGTGCTAGCATTTGTGCATTTTTGATCACCACAACACAGACTTATTAAAAGCATATCATGCATCAAAAATCTCGTGGTTAGAATAGAACGCTTTGATAGGAGGCTTGATCGGCTCAAAGACGTTGACGCCGACTTGGGTCACAAATTGCCCGCTGATAAACTATGATCAGCTCATGAGACTCATAAGGTGAATTAAAGAGTTTCTAGTCAACACAATATGTTCAGCGCATGTTGTGGTGCAACATCCTCAGAACTGACTAGCTACAGCGCTGTTAACCAAGACTCCGCTTGTTTCCTGGGGGCACATACAGTAGGCGGCCTATCTCACGAAATGCTGGCCGAAATTCGACAATGCGTTTCCAGTTAAAAAGGATTACTTAGGTAGTGTTGTAATATCGATTAACCTGTAGCACAGTTTCACGACATTTCAGCCATGCCAGGATGCCAGCTTTCGGATGAGTTCCTTTCCAGCAGATTGCAAAAACGCATTTGGCAAAAGTAAACTGTTTGACTAGTACGAATTCCCAAATGAACCTCGAAGACCTGATTGATCCAAGTATATTTAATAGAAAATAGGCACATGCATGTCCATTCTAGTACTCAGTTGGGCAACGGTATGGAGAAGGGCCTCACTTAACTGACGGCAGGCTGTGGATCACTTCATCGGGGCTTTTATTTTGGGCATCCATTTGAAGGCTTTTGAAGACATTACACTGCTAATAACAATCACTTCTCACGACTTCAAGTCGTCACTCAAACTCCTTTATTTTTTGAAATTTACTTTTTGTTCATTTCTAATTGCCGCGCTCACTCCTGTCGTCATACGAAAGCGTACGATGAGTCTTTCAGGAGAAATCCAAACATCTTCTGCGTTTTCCTGAACTTCGTCAGCTTACTCTCTAGTGCGCTGCTCCACCCGTAAAACTCCCCTTATCGCCAATCACGTATGACGTTATCCATGGTCATCCGTCAGTTAAGTTGGGTCCTTCTCCATCCCGTTGCTCTCATTTGGTAGCAAGTTGGGTCTTCTCCAACTTTTGCATTCAAAGAACGGATATTGTTGGTTTTTAAAGGTTTTAATCACGGGATGCTTTGAGGCCGTGAAATGTCCATTAATAGAACCGAACCCCTCGCAGCTGTGTCACGCAACGGCGGAATATCGGTGAAGCACGTGTATAGGCCTTTAGTTAGGAACTGTGTCGGGAGTGCGGTATAATACGTTTGCCATATACATTCCATACTGCCCGTAGTACTACTTGTTTGTAGAATGGGCATTACGTGATTATTCCACAGTAGTTGATTGTCTTCGACTCAAATGTTCATTGAAATTTCGGGTCTAACCCTAAAAAGTCATGCCCCGGAGGCTTAACTCCCTGTCCTTTACTGAATACTTTCTTAAATTCTTCGCTTGAAACAGCATCGTGTCTGCATGTTTGTGAAGTGTACAACGTGGTCCACATACATTGAACAATTTCTGAGTCCTACATGACGTCTTCTTAAGAGTGTAAAAGATGTACTACCTTCTCTACATTAAAAGTTTGGGAACCCCCTGCTCAATTACAACTACAAGCCGCGTTAAAAATAACTCGGGAATTGAAAAAAATTCCAAGACTGAAAGATATGCTTTCTTCAAGTACGAATTTGAATAGCACCAAATGAGTAAAAGAAAGATTATTTTTATGTTCTTTTGTTATGTATGCAAAGTAGGAAACTGGTCGTAGGCACGACGCGTAATGAGCACGGAAGGCAGCACAAGTGGGGAGTCTTACGAGACACGGCAGGGTATATGGAATGGGGGAAATGCCATAGACTGAAGGGTGGCCAATCAGCACATAGGAAGTCGGGACGCGCGCCCGTGACCTTGACCGTTCGTTGTCACATGCAGGTGGCGTGACGTCTAAACTGTACGGATAGCACAACAGTCCGACCGCCGCATCCGACGATGCCCGCCGTGTGCTCCACAACAAGGTTACAGCAGACACGGTGACTTGGCAAGATCGCAGTTGGTAGCCAGGAATGGGGAAGCGGACGGCGACCTTAACCCTAATCCTAACCTTAACCTTAGCCCCAACCCCGACCGTAAATGTTAACCGTTAACCCTAACGGCAACCCTAACCCTAACCGAAACTGTAACCGTAACCGTAGCCTTTAGACAGCCGTAACTGAAAAACCTAACCGTAATACTGAACCCTAATCATACGCTCAAACCCTAACCGTAACCCGAAAACCTAAGCCTAAATGCATAACCCTAACCCGAAAATCGGAAACCATTAACCGGTACCCTAATCCTAACCTCAAACGTAAAACGGAAGCCAAATGGGTCAGATGTTATTATGGAGCCCCACAAAATAGCCCCAGTAAACAAACTCCCCCACCACCTGTAATACGGGTCCTGGCTACCAACTGCGATCTAACCGGTGACTTGTGCGTGAATTAGTTTATAGTGAGAATGGACTAGCGCAGCATCTACCGCACTCTCTCCTCCCCCGCCTGGACCCGGTGTCAAGACATAGTCAATAAAACCGTAGGCGGGATAGGGCGCAGGTGGCTGGTACGGCCGGACCCGCGCCTAGGCATACGGCCACGGGTCCTGGTCCACAACAAACCACAAAAATGCGCCAGAAATAAGAGAGGATAATACAAGTCACCGGGCAAGCATGTGCGTGGCCTGCATACCCAGCGGGACCGCAAGTGCATCTATTGGCTGGGAACCAGGTGCCAGAGAACTGCCAGTGAACACCAGGCTGCGAGGGTCATGATTTGCTGAAACATGGCATGGCAGACGCACACTATCCTTTAAGCGCGATCAGTTGTATAGAGACGGAAAGACAGCATTTATGGAACCTTTTTTCCTCCAAGGAGGCAATATGCATTTGGTTGAATATATAGGCAGTTGTTGAATTTAAATAAGCCTTACCATTTTTCAAAGAAAGCAAGCTTAGTCGACGCCGTCCACGCAGACTTCAACTTCTTTGGAATAATGTCCCAAAATTTTAGAATTTATTGATTACCATGGCCCAGGTGGAATTGTTGTGAAAACACGGATAGGTTCTCCTTTTATTTTTTTGTTGAATATTAGAGTTTGTGGCAACTGAAGGTACATTTCGATGCTTCAACTGGCTTGCAAATAAGCCTCTGCTTATGCGTGTCAGAAGAGGGCTAATTCCCATCTACTAAGCAAATCATAGTACACAACGAATGATGTTATGGGGACAATTTACTTCTAATCATAATCTGGATTTGCAGGAGGTTACTAAAGTCCGGCCGCTGCGTTCAGCTTACTTACGAAATGAAATGCACTCTATGGACAGGTGTAAGCTATGCATACATATGCATATACAGGACGTTGGTCCACAACAGCCGATCAAGTTGACCGAGGAGTAAGGCATTTGCTTGAATAAACGGACAGACTCCGACGCTAACTGGCGAGTTAGATGAACTTTCATATATACTTTACCCTATCTGCTAATGCCAGCATCGGTTGTGACATCGTCATCAACAAGAACAGGGGTAAAATCTACACTTCCCTTAGGAGAAAGTCGGCTGGAACTAGTTTCAGCCTGATTTCGAACAGAGTCGAAACCTGTGGCACCTTTTTAATCATCATTCTATCTATTCTCACGTTTATTATTTTTTCCAATTCTCGACTTAGACAAGTGTTAAAATATTCATTCCTTTACAGTGAACTGAGATACTATTGCTCCGCTACGTCCTTTTTATATTACGATCATGATAGTATAATGGATCTCTCATCAGAGATCATTCTGGTCCACTATCTATGGGTAGATCATGCACATCATTAATGATCCAAGTTTACTCTGACAGGACAAATGCATTGCTTGAGGTCAAATCGAGAATGAGAGGAAAACATGTGGGCGCGATGGTAATTAAAGTAGGTCTTGATCAGCAGAAGCCGGTTGAATTTTTTCGCAGTGAAGGGCCGATCCGAAGAAGGGACAGTTAACTAGGTTATCATCGAGAAAAGGAAAAAAACTGTTCGCCTATGATCGAGTTCAAGGTGTAAATCACAAAGAGGCGGAGGTAATCCCGTATCAGTCTGCCTGAGCAGATAGCGGACTAAACAGCGCATCTTTCCACCCTGAAGCGGACAGAATCGCAAAGGGGAAGCAAACAGTAAAGATAATAATAGATCGTTAACAAATGCTCTAGTGATTTTGTTTTGAAGACGCTGGACTGGTTGGCGGGTCCGAGTAGATCTTCTCAGTCCGGTATTTTCGACCTCTGCGCCGCTTTGCGGAGTAGACGGTTCCTCCATCCATAAGTTAGTGCTGGTGAGAGTAGTAAGGAAGGTGAGGCACATTCACCTCGGCTGGCGGCGTGATGTTCTGTATAGGCAGCAGATCTTCTGTCATTGAGACACCGTAGCCAACACCAGGGGCTGGTGTCAGTTTGGACTGTGCCGGTGCGGCTGGGGACTTGGCCCAAATGTCGGAATACAGTTCTCCCAACTAACGTCAACTCTACTATTTGCCTTTCGCTTCTTCGAACTGCCCCCAGACACCAAATCTCGTCATTTTCCAATCGCGTATAGACATTTTTGCTAGGCGCAAAGGTTCAAGGGCGGGTGTGCATGTCATAGTGCTCCTTCATGTTTGTCTGTTTTCCTATAACTTTATCCTACGTTGAATCACTAGGCAGACCGAGTTATGTGCGCAACTGCCACTGAAACATTAATTTTGCAGGCGATGATCCGGTTGAGTCATTTGATGTTGTTCGGTAGCTGAACGAAGAGCGTGACAACCTCGTGGGCAAGTCCGCTTACGTCTGTTTTGCTGACGCGTGTTTCACTGTCTTAACTTCTCGCTCTGAGAGGCAATTTAAAGCTGCATGGTACGGAGCAGTGGCTTAATGCCTAATTCCGCTTTTCTTTGTAAATCTCTAGATTCTGCACTAGAGAAGGCTGGACCATTATTTGAAACGATAATTTCGGGTATTCTAAAGGTAGAGAAAACGGATCGCAACTTGTTCATCGTAGTTATTTAATAACAGGAAGTTTCGGTAGGAATCACCCTAATCCATGTAGCGCGGACGTCAGCCACCAAAACCATCTGGCCCTAGAATGACCCAAAATAATCTATGTGTCTCAGATAAGCATGGAATCATCGGATTTAGGAACAGGGACTATTGGGGCTGCCCATGGCGAATACTGCACGGGCCTGATAATGTTCGCTTTCTTAAGGCCTCCAGTCCTACGCTGACCTTCGGTGAAGCTGCGCAGGGGACGGAATGAGCCCTGAAAAGTCAGGCATGAAGCTGTAGTTGAAAATGGAATTTTACAGGTGCACCACGGTAGTGTGTAGTGGAGTCGTCACGAAACAGTTCGTTGTGATTTACCAACAGGGAATCTAGAGCGGGTCAGTACCAGTCAGATTTATATTGGTATAGTACAAAAGGCAGTCATTTTACCCGGTTCCGTCTGAAGAGATTTGGCTGCTGATTTCCTCTGATCCCATGAAGCGGCGAGTACTGGTGTTCTCCATCATGCTCAACTTCGGTTGTAAAGACCCCCTAGAACGTCTACGCTCTGCCCAGTGTAACTACGAAATGTTGAGCGAGCCAGGGGAGATGGGGACATTTCTGGAGAGAGGCCTCGTTTATGAGATTTACAGCTGGGTCAGTGTCCCGTGATAGCGATAAACAGGAAGCAAGATAGTGTAGAGTGATTGGAGCGGCGGAGTATTTTCTGGCTTACTCAGCTGGATTAGGGTAGGTGGCGTGCATGTTAGTATTCGCCCGTCTTTTGGAGAAACACACTTGTTCGATGCGATTCGATGCTCAAGGGATGATATCACTCTAGCAGTTGACTGATTGAGCGGCCGAAAATTTTGTTGCGCGCGCTTTTGATGACTAGCGATGTTATAGAACTTCCCCCATGACAAATCGTTCTTCCCTGTTAGAACGTTTCCCCGAGCTTTCTCATCATGCAAACGGTCAATTGCTGGACGAGCATTGCATGCTCGAATTTGTCTGCCTTGATTTTTTTTATACAGGGAGTCCTGAATGGCAAGAGTCAGTTTCGTAATAAAATCCCCACTGCTTTGGCCGGATTCCTGACGCATCCGACAAAATCGATCGCAGTTAGAGAAGATGTTGTTTTTTTCAGTCCACGCTGACTACACCTTGGTGCATGCCGCTTGGATATCAGTAGACTCTTATAACTGAAAGGCCTCGAAGCACCGCTGTCCCAATTCTCAGAGGCTGATCCGGAGGAGCCTTAATTTAGAGGTAACGCGTAGTGTAGCCATGGGCGACACCGGAATCAGTGCAATATGAGCTTCGAAAGTCTTTGTCCACTGCAACCAAGAGTCATTTTGGGGTCTCGCTGTGTTTTCGGCCAGAATGGTAGCGGTGTAGGCTACAATGAAACCGTGTTCGTTAAGCCACGTCTCCAATGCTGTGTATGCAAAGCAGGAGGCTGGTCGTAGGCACGACACATAATGATCACGGGAGGCAGACCAAGGCTTAGGGGACACAGCGGGGCATATGCAATAGGGGAAACGCCATAGGCTGAAGGGTGGCCAATCAGCATATAGGAGGTCGCCAACAGGATCTCGAAAGCCAGTCAAGCCTTTGGTCGCCTCCAAAGCACAGTTTGGAATCGCCACGGTCTTCAGCTGAGCACGAAGCTGAAGATGTACAAGGCCGTCATTCTGCCGACACTACTGTATGGAGCGGAGACTTGGACGGTGTACACAAAGCAGGCACGCCGTCTGAACCACTTCCACCTCAGTTGTCTTCGTCGCATCCTAAGGCTGAACTGGCAGGATCGAATCCCCGACACTGATGTGCTGGAACGGACGGGAATCCTCAGCATCTACGCCATACTGAGACCAATGCAGCTGCGCTAAAGAGGCCACCTGGTGCGCTTGGACGACGAGCGACTACCCAAACGACTTCTACGGAGACGTCGCGACGGGTTCTCGCCGTCAAGGAGGCCAGATTCGCCGTTACAAGGATACCCTGAAGTCCTCCCTGAAACGCCTGCAAATCAACCCCACCAACTGGGAGGAGCTCGCACTCGATCGACCGACATGGGGGAGGACAGTGAAGACAGGCGCTGCGATCTACGAAGCCAACCGCATCGGTGCCGCCAAAGCGAAACGCGAAGCCCGCAAATCACAACTTCGCCCAGTAAGCAACGCCGCCGCACAACCGCTTCCAACGTGTCCTCAGTGTCAACGGACATTCCGGGCTCGAATCGGACTTGTCGGACATCTTCGGATTAACTGCGCCTCTCGATCTGCATCAACCATCGTCCCCCCGTCCGCCTCCTCCTCCTCCTCTCCGCCACCGACTAACTGACAATTCTTCTGACCCACCACTTCCATCCTCCTC